CATTATAACGTTGTAGCGGAACGAGATGCCTCGGCGATTGATATGGGAACTATCGGCTGTCGGCCAACTCGGAGGCAACAAGGCCACGGCACTTATCGTTCAATTGGTTGGATAGGCGGCGGCCGACGGAGATGCACATACCTGTGACTTCTTCTGTAACCTTGGAACTGGGCCGATAAAAAAAAAGTGGCCTTGCATTTGAGATGCCTTTATGTAGTGGCAATTTGTGCGAGATCACGCCAGTACACGGAGTGTGCTGCCATACAAGCAAAGCTGGCTGGACGGACAAGGGGGGGGGGGGTTGTCCTGGGACTAAACTTGGAATGACAATAAGAAACAGACTTGCATTGAGCCATCGGCGCTATTTACACAAGTCTGTCTGGCAACATGAGCAATGGCTTTTTCCTCTGGTATGATTTGCTTTGGGCTGGTTACATTGGCAAGCCACACTCTGGTCTAGCGTCTTGCATCTACAGTATATCAGAGACGTACCAGTAGCTGAGGGAGTCCCTTTTTCTGATAGATCTACTTGTTACTGATTGACGCTCCAATTGCCTCTCCTTCCTCTAGCGACCTACTACCAAGTAGTCACGGCTATCGCATTGTACGAATACTCCGGACAGGGAGGGCTATGACGTCGGCATGGGCTCACACTTGCACCGCGTGGGTTTTTGTTTGCTAATGAGAAAAGTCTCAGCGTGCAACCAACGGCGTCAAAGCGCTGTCCATCATCGCCATCCACGGCCCCGACGGGTTACTAGTTACAAGTTATCGTGGACATTGAATCCGAAGGCAAGGCGGTAATAAAATTAGCAGCAAGGGAATACCACGGTTGCAGTGAGAAGCTGTTTAGTGGAGGGGACTCATTTGCGAGGCTGCTTGGCTGTTTCAACTCATCTCGTTGTCACGGAATCGTAACCACAGACGCTGGGCAGGCCAAAAATAAATGTGGAAAAAAAGAAGAGAAAAAGGAAAAAAAAAAGGGAGAAAAAGTGAGGGAAAAAAAAAACATACATAGCCAGGCCTGGTATGACACTCACGATGAATGACATTGGAGTTCTTAGCTGGCCGTTATTATTATTCTTGGCTCAATTTAGAAGGTGATTCATGTATTTTTATCTGGCAGAAACAAAGAACCACAAAACAGCCCGGCCCCTCTCAACCGGCGAGACACTGCACCAGTCAGGAATACTGAATCCGTCCACCATTTGCGAGAGTCCAACGTCCGAGCTCAGGGAAAAAGGCGGGTACTCGTCGTTCTTGTCGTGAGAATAGCAAAGGTCCCACGAAAAGAAGAAAGGGAACAAAACACACACACACACACACACACACACACACACACAAAAAGGGAAGCGCACTGACGCAAGGCTGAGATGGTGGTGGTGTATCACCATCTTGCACGGGCTCTCTCTCCGATGCGGAAATCTCTCTGGCAACAACATAATCTCGAGCCAGAGGGTTTGCGCGTGTAAAACGTAGGACATTGTCGCCTGAGTCGTCGTTTGAAACGATTTGGGCGAGGGACGAAACGAGATGGACCGAGATGGGAACGAGGCAGGTCAAACGAGAAGAGCCTTGCTGCTGCTTGCCACTGGATGTCCATGCAGGTTTATTAACGAGAAAATGATCGCGGCTCACATGCTGCCAGCAGATGGAACTTGACTTGCCATGTCGTCTGTTCACCGCTAGAAAACTGCAGACAGGGGAAGTTGACGGTTTGTATTAATCGCCAACTTGACTGGTCAAGTTTCGCTACCGTCGAAAAGCGGCTCGCATGTTATTCGTGCAATGTGCCGGTACCGAACGGCTCAGGGCACGTTCAACCTCATGGTTCACCACCAAAAGAGTCAGTGCGCTTGCATCCCGCGATGAATTCCGGTGCATGTATGCATACGACCTGGCAATTGAACAAGGCAAGCGGGAACACAGAGGCGCAGCAGTTGCCGATCTCCCTCGAACGGCTACTGCAAACTGGGCTGCGCGCGCGCGCCGCAAACATGAGGGGCGTTAATAACGAGCCCGCCTGCTGAAGGATCATACATGTTTGGAAAGAGAGGGTTCGCGATGGATGACGGTTGATGCACGGAAGAGGGGAATATGGGGAGACGCGGGCTATGCGCGCGATTCAGTAGGTTTTACGTGACGGTATCCGCTTCTCAACGTCAACAGAGAGTGGTCATTGGTGATGGGGGTTAAGGATGCACTGACGGTAGAGGCGGGCAGGGGAGGGTGTGGTGTTGGGAGGGTTGACATGAGTCGCCAAGTTCATCTCAGGCCGGGGGCTTCTTTTTTAGCTACATCGCATCGGGGGCCTGGCGGGCAAATGGAAGAAGCCGTTGTACGGGCAGCAGGGGTGTCCAACAGGGACATGACGAGCGAAAAATCGCGTGCTGCGACGAGCATACTGGGTAGAGAGAGTATCATGATGGGGGGGGGGGGGTGGGTCATTGGCTTGACGGGTTGTGCAGAATCAGGACATGTCGAGAAGGCTCTGTCGTCATCGGTCGTTGTTCGGGAACTGCGATACTGGTAATGAAAGATCAAGGGCCCGTGACCGGCCGGATCCGTCCCTGGACGGCGACGACGGCGGGCGCAGGCTTGTGTTGTTGTTGTTATTATGGCTGTTGTTGCTGTTGGATCACGACTCGTCTTAGACCAGACTGCAAGACCTGGGCGTTCTGCACGCACGGGCTCAATGTCCACTGCAAGCGCGTCTTTTTTTTTTCTCTCTCACTCACTAAGCCGGGCCACTGCAAGTACACACGTCCTCATGATTGATTAATATACCAAGAGGTTCGCGCAGGCAGCATGCGTGATCCGCTCCCCATCGAGTAATACTGGCAGGATCCATCACGTACAAGAGGGGATGCGGTGAGAGAAACAGAGGCAGCAAGAGAATGGAGAGTGAGATGCATCCCTCAGTTGGAACGAGAGTCTTGGCGGTGGAGGTGGCGCTGCCGTGACAGGACCGGGTTTTGGTACGGATGCTGGGATACTGGTAATAATAATACGATGCAGATTGGGATTTTTTCGGCGGCTGTCCGGATGCCTTGCGAGCAATGTTGCAAGATGTGTATTTGGGAAGTAAGGGAATGGTGTGAGGGAGGTGTGAGTCTTCTATTACAGTTGCTACCAGTTAGTATTAGTCAATTGGCAAGGTTGACTCAACTCTGAGTCTGGCTCTCGGATTTTTTTTTTATAAAAGAACAGAGAGAATGGAATGACACTACGATTTACAAATCAGCAAGCAAAGTAAAAGGCCAGACCGGCTCATCCTGCTACCAACAGCAGGGAAACAGTCAGCTTCAGTGTGCTCAGGCACTTTGGCCTACCAACCCAGCCAGATTAACAAGAGCTAGTGGCACGCCTAGTGTGTCGTGAATTCATTGCCTGGCTTGCAATTTGGGGCGAAGAGTAAGCCACGGGAGAGGTGCCTGTATTGTGACGCTACGACAGAGGACCAGGAAACATACACCCCTCCATACCCCCCCCTGCAA